CACATGGAATCCCAACGGCCCAGCTTTTCCGTATCCTTAAGCCTGGAAACATACCCTTGGTTTGGGATGCTTTTTCCTGACCTTGCCAGTCTAAGGAACTGCCACTCTTCAAGATCAGATTCAAATGTCAACTCTTTGTGACACATTCCTTTTGTCCCCAAACATTATTACTGTATTCCCTCTTTTGTATTCTCTTCATCTTTTAAAAAATTGTCGTGTTTATTTCCACTTATCCATGCATCATGGACTGAGTATCTATTATAAACCAGGTACTATTTTATGGCTGATAGAGAAATACAGACGGAGCATTTGAAGAGCCTGTAGTCTGTTGGGGGAACAAAGACATTTATAAACAGAGACTGAGTGAACCTAAGAAAGGAGTAAAATACCTGGATTTTTTGAAAATCCATTAGCTACTTTATGTGCTAATTCTCTTAATACTGTAAGTTCTCCCAAATGAAAAATACACAAAATCCTGGAAGTACTGCTAATTATGCACTTGGGCTCCTGGGATGAAAGAAGCTAATAAAGAGCAAATTTTCTTACGAGTAGTCTCTCTGGTATTAAGGAAAAATAAGTGTAAGTTCCTTTCCCTTTATACGTTGTTCTAAGTTTTTCCAACATGTCCAAGATCTGCTGTCTAAAAATGGACCTACTAACATCTCCTAACTACCCACACTTTCTTCAGCAGGGTTCCAGTTCGTGTGGGTCACTGAGGAGTTGTCAAAGGAGTGTTTATACCAGCACTGACACAGAATGCACAATCAGACTTCTGTCTGATGGAGTTGCAGCCTCTTGAGAATCTGGAGTAGCAGCCAAGCAGGGAGGCAGGGAGGTTGTGAAGGAGCAAAAGAGAAAAATCCCAATCAGGAATCAGCTCTAATCAAGATCTCAGAAAATACTGCTAAGGGTGCCACGGATATTTCTCAGGATTATATTTTACTGTTTTTAGACCATTTTTAGTTTCAGGAATAGTGGTATCCTCAGGAAATGACAAATATGGGAAATACAATATAAAAAAGACTGAAATGATGGAAAAATTCAAATAGAGAATAAAATTCTACCTGTCACTTGCAAATTCAATGTGTCCAAAAAAAATCTTCAAAATCAGCTCCCTTCCTAATCTCCATTATTGACAAAATACTTGTCTTTTGCTTACCCGCAAGCTCAAAAGCCTAAGGGTCCTCCCTCTCATTTCATTCACTTAGGTAGTTTTTACTGCATACTTAATGCTAGTCTCCAGGAGACTTCGGTGGTAGGAATAGAAGGGTTAGGATGTGGAGATGTGAACATGTTTGCTAATAAGTAATAAGTATATAAGTAATAAGTATATAAGTATATAAGTGGTTGAGAGTACCACAAGGATTCTGAAGTGTGAGATGACGTCTGGTTGGAGTAATTAGGAAGTACATGGGGTGCAGGTAGTGAGCACTCAAGGTTGGCCTAGAACCCTAGGTCTACCTTTGATTAATGGAGCTAGAATTGGGAAGGAAAGCACTTAAGGAATATTTAATAAAGGTGGTTGCCTGAATCTAAAAGCCCAGGAGGGGAATGGTGAGAGAAAAGGCTAGGGACAGGCATTGGTTGGTTGGCTGAGAAGCTATAAGACTTTAACCTGTAGGCTGTGAGGTCATTTCTTCCGTCATATGCACCTTTACATCTGATACTTTCATCTGGCAAAACAAAGTTGGTGGTAGCTGCGTTTGTGATCTTAGGTGTTCTTCTGCATTTAAGAGTTTGTAGGAGGGGCTGCTGCTGTGAGTGGTTGAATAGAAAGTTGTCCTTTCAGCACTAACAAACTTGACTTAGGCTAGAGGATAAGAAAGCACATCTTATTCTAGGCATGCTTCAAAATGCCAGCCTTCAAAACCCTAACTAGGGCTATGATTGAGAATATCAATTTCTCAAATTGGCTTTATTATTTGACTCCCTTGCTCAAGCTTGGTTATACATAATGGTTATACATAATCTGCCATGATTATACATAATCCAATCCCACCAAAACTTTCAGCCTTACTGTTACTACCAACCTCCTTTTCCCTTCAGGACTAAATTACTATAGGGCTACTATTACAGTCTTGGCTAAGCTGAGTTAAACTTAAACTAGACAATAGTTTAGGCCATTTTACAGGCAAAAAAATATAAATTTTACAAAAATATTTATAAGAACTTGGCAGCGCTTAGTCACCCTGTCTTCTCAAGTATACTCTGATTTTGCAAAATCCAGAATTGTTTGTAATGAATAAATATGAAAGAATAGTTACAAATGACACGGTTTATAGAAATGTACTTTATCTTAGAAGAGGGTAGGTGTATGCATGTTTCAAAATCAGTAAATACACCAACTACACTTCATTGGACACAAATTTTAAACCAAAATAAACAAACAAACTCTAATTAATGATACGGATACCAAAGTATTTAGGGGGGAAGTGTACTGATACTTGCAATTTAAATGGATAGATAGATACGTGATAAAGCCAAGTTATATTAAAAAGTTAATGACAGTACCTAGGTGGTGAATCTATGTATTTCTTATGAAATTCTCTGGACAGCTGTATGCTTGAAATTTTTCATAATAAAGCACTGGGGGAAATGACATTGCTAGGACACTGTATTCAAAACATTATACTTGGGCCTCCCGGGTGGCACAGAGGGTTGAGCCTGGCACTATAAAGCTGTCCACAGTCTCCACAGCACAGGTGTGATTCTCGGCCTGGCCAGAGATACCCACATGGCATGGCAGACCTCTCCTGTCTCGCCAGATGCTCACCTTAGCAGTGCTTTCGGTCCGTCTGCCTGTCCTGCTCCCAGTTTTGTCTGGTGAATTCTCTCACCCTCCTGCGCCTCTGGCCTGTACCCCAGCTCTTGTATAACTAAATCAATCTTTAAACAGAAAGCCAAAACATTATACTTCACAAAACTAGAAGATGTTTAAGGGAATGGCAGCAGCAGCCATTTGCCCCTTGATGCTTCCATGCCACCTTGCACATACTTTACACAGTCCTTTTAATGGAGTGTGCTCACTGCAAGTTTCTGATGGGCACAAATCTATGCTAATTTATATTTCTGTTCCTATTGCTTTGCACTGTGTATGGAAAATGTGTTCGATAATGGTGGAATGAGTAAATCAAAGCGGAAAATTGCTAAGGAGCAAAGTATTACACTACTATCAGACTCACTTTATTTCTCACATCTTCTAAAAGCTAATATGTTCAGTGTTCGAAAGAAATGTGTCCCTTCTAAGTACGCAAATTTCCAAAACAAAGACAAAACTCATGAGTACTTACGAGATTATATTGTATTCTATTACTAAAACACGAGATTGGAAGGCCTCCTAACATTCAGTAACTTTAGTTTTTTCAACAACTTTAAAAGTTTTAGACAACTTTCTTTTTTCTAAAAGGGCGAAGACTCAGAATTCCAAGGAAATCTGGAATTTGTTTTATTCTCGTCTTAGAAAAGCTGTCAGAACTAAGCGATCCCTGAACGGGTGAAAAGAAGGAATCTGGAGCTCTGGGGAAAAGATAAAAACAAACACCACATAAAAAAAAAAAAGTCATAAAGCAACTTAATTAATAACTTTACCAAGAAACGGAGGGAAAGCCTCAAGGAGAACACGCAGAATATCCCCAACCCCCTAGACGGGCTGCCGCTCCTCTCTCCAGTGACCGCCTGTCCAAGGTCCGGCCGCGCGCGCCCGGGACACGCCACGCGAAGGCGCACAAGCCCCGGAAGATGCCTCCGGCCACGTTAACCCCCCAGAGGGTGGGAGTTCTGGGGTCCCAGCTCTAGCCCTCCACCTGCCTGACCTGCGAGCCCGCCCTCGCCGGGGTCACCAGCCTCACCGGGGAAATGGTAATGCTTCGCCCCACACCGGCCGCCCTTCAAAGCGGCCGCATGCAGAGGCGAGAGGCATGCGGGCGCCCTGAGGAAGATGCAAGGACCGTCCCCGCGGCCCGGCCCCGGGCACGCGGTGCTCGCAGGCTGCCCCGGCCGGTCCCCAGGCACGGCGGCCCCTCTCCCCCTTCCCGCCCCGCGCCGGCGCCGAGGCCGCTCCCCCGCGGGCCCCGAGCGGAAGCCGCGCGGCGCCGCGTGCCGTACCTGCAGCCACTTGGTCAGCGGGGCCCTCCTGCTGACCCATGACGAAGTCGTGCACGAGGCCCCACAGGGCGCCTGCAGGCGCCACCGCCTCCGGAGCGGCGGCGGCGGCCATGACGCGGACGCGGGCCCGGGGGAGGGAAGTGGGCGGGCGCGGGCCGGGCCTCTCGGCGCACGCGCCTCCTCGGCCAATCGCCGGGCCGGGCCGCGGGGCGGGGCGCGCGCTGGTCACGTGCCCGCCGGCTCCGGGCCCGGCGGCTCCAGGGAGGGATGGGACGGTCCCTCCCCGCAGGGCGGGGCCTGGGGCCGGGGCGGCGGCGCGGGAGGGCGGGCGGCTGCTGGGCACGCAGCCCGGGGCTATTGAGGGCGAATAATTCCCGGCCCGGCTCCCCCGAGACGGGCGGTGGGGCGGGCACCTGGCTGGGTGGGGCCGGGGGAGGCACGCACCTTGGGAGGAGCCAATGAGAAAACGAGGCCTGGCCCGAGGGGCGGAGCTGCCGGTCACATGCGCACCTGGGGCGGGCGGCGGCGGCGCGGGCACCGCGGGCGGCGCGGGGCGCGGGGCGGGGGCCGGGCGGGGGCGGGGCCAGGCAGGTGAGTGACAGGCGCCGGGGGCCGGCCCCAGCTGGGAGCCCCGAGCGAGCCCGAGTAGCTGCGGCGGTGCCCGCCCCCTCTCTCCGCCCCTCCAGCGGGGCTGGTCTCCGGCCGGGCACCGTCGCGGGCCCCCCTGCCCGGCCACCTGGGACTGCGCTGGGGCGCCGGCCGCCTCCCCCTGCCCCTCGCCCGCAAAGTTTGTGCTGAAGCCGGCGCCGGGGCAGAGCGCGCCCTCGGGGGGAGGTCGGAGCGCCGATGCCGGGCGGCGGGAGCCGCTGACCCGGGACGCCGCCGTCCGGGCAGGATCGCGAGCAGCAGACCCGCCCGCCGCCTCCGGTGCATGGGGCCCGGCTGAGCAGCCAGCATGGGCAACTGCGTGGGGAGACAGCGCCGGGAGAGGCCGGCCGCCCCGGGACACCCCCGCAAGCGCGCAGGTAACGACCGGAGGGAGCAGGGCCCCGCGCCCCGCCAGCTGTGCCCCCGCCCGCCCGAGCCCCGGGCTTCCCGGGCGCCCTCCCGCGGCCCCGAGCCCGGGTTCCCCTTGGGCTGCCCGCGAGCCGGACGGGCCACCCTGCCCCGCGCTGCCGGCGGCGGGCGGCGGGTCCGGCGCCCGCGAGCGCTGACCCGCCGCGAGACCAACTCGCTCCGACTGGGCGGCCGGGTGGGGGCGGGGGCGGCGCAGGAAGCGCGAGACCGCGGCGGGGCCGCAGGGCCGGAGGGCCGGGCCCGGGGCGCCGCCGACCTGGCGGCCGGGCCAGGGGCGGACGCCGGCCCGTCGGGGCTCGGCGCGGGCGGTCTGGCGCCCCCGAGCCCGGGGCGGGCGAGGCGGGAGCGGTCGCGCCTTCCAGGACTGTCTGTGTCATGATCGGGCTGCACGTCGTGGCCGCCGGAATCCGACTCGCGGCGGCGCGGGGCTCTGGGAAGGGAATCTCTCTTTCCCCCGCAAGGCTTTTTCGAGCTCCTCTCCGTATGGGGGTCTAGGAACGGTGGGGTGGGGTGTGGGACTCGCCCTCGGGTTTGGGGGGAACCTGCCCCGCCTGGGGAGTGGGAGCTGTCTGCTCGCTGGTGATCCGCGAGGGGCGGGCAGCGCCCCCTCACTGGGTGGGTGCACCCCTCCATCCCGGCGCTCCGCCCCGCGCGAGGTCTGGCCGTCGTGTCTCCGGGCCTTGTAGTCACTTTCTTCTCTGAGGTGGTCGCCAGGGCTTTCTGAGAATGATAAAATTGAAGACTTTCAAGCGTAAAGGGGCCTTCGAAACTGACCTGAAGTCCACGCAGACCCACCTCCTCCTGTCTGCGTGGAAAGCCCAGTCCAGAGAAGTTGAGCAGCTTGGCCAGAGCCACACAGCTAGTCAGCAGTGCAGCCGGGGACAGAACCGGCCGCTTCTTCCACCCAGTTGCCACACCTCCCTTTATGTAAGAGGAGCCACAGGTAGAGTTGAGAGTGAAGTAGAAACTCTAGTTGGAGTGAGTTAGTTTCCTGTCTCTTTTGACACCGACACGTTGTGTTTCTTGGGTTGCAGCAACTCTGGGAAGGGAGAATGAGGAAAGCAGGGGGAAAGCCTGTGGGACAGGATCACTTGTGGAAGAAGAAACTCCTCTTGATAGGGCGGGTGGACTAAAATTTAATTGAAACCATCTTGTCCGAAGGCAACCTTGGCCATTCTTACTGAGGAAAGTTGATTCTCAGACCCAGGACTTTCTTCCTTCCATTCATTCGTTAATTCAGCAAATATTTATTATTTATGTACTTAGCTCACATAATTGATTTTGTGGCACTTTTCACTGTCGACAACCCCCTCCTACTTGAAATTCTCCCGTCTTCCCTTCTTGGCATTCAGTTGTCTTTTTTTTTCCCTCCTCCACTCACTGCCCGCTGTCACCTCCTAGGAGTGGGCACAGTGTGGTTCGGTTTGACATTGCGTTTTCCTCTCGTTATGCTCCCTCCCCCTCATGTTTATTCAGTTCCACAACTCTGTTGAGAAGACCTTACTCTTTAAATGCCCACAGGAGACACTGCTGTAGATATCCTCAGAAGACCTAAATTTGCTAAATTAATCTGTTCCATACCCTCTATTTCAATGCCCAGAAACCTTCCTGCACCTCCCTACTTCTGTAGGAACTTGAGCTTTCAAGGCTGTTCAAGTTTGACCTAGTCCTTACCTTTAAAGTGTGATTTCTTTCTCGTCCCTGACATTAAAGCCACTAGTATTTGCTCATACCATTTCCCCCTTATCAAGAGTCTTTCTTCCCTTCAAGGTTCACCTCAAAATCCTATATCTTTCTAGAAGCACCTTTCCTGACAAATTCCCCCTCCCCCCAGACGTGATTGCGCCTTCTGAGAATTCCTGAAGACATAGTATGGTACTTAGTACTTACTTAACAATTATCTACTCCATGTCATTAGCCATTTCTTTGATGTTTATAGTCGTATATCAGCAACTACACTGCAAGCCCCGAAGACCTGGGTTCTGTCTTATCCTTATGTGTGTCTGTTTCTCTCTCACTCACTCATATAGCTAATCTCTGTCTCTCTCTGTTGGTGTCTGTCTCTCTCAGCACCTAACACAGTGACTTGTATAGAGGAAGCACTCAATATTTGTTGAAATTAGAAAGCTAACCCAATTTATCTTACTATCTGAATTTTTCATGTAAACATTTTACAATTTTTTTTTACCTGCTAGTGTATCATTACTTCAGTTTTGTGGGTCCCACTATAAATAGCTTTATTCATAAAGTTCAAAGCCAAGGAGAGTTCTGTAGGATGACAAGTTTAGTATAAGGGAAGGAATCCTACATAACTTCACAGCATGCACCTGGCATTCCTATAACATCTGCAGGATACCCTTTCACAAGGACATAGTTTTGTGTTGTGATACTAATGCCTGAAGCTCCCCTAGCTCCACTGTAACTCTTATGCTTTCCTTTGCCACTGCCGTCGAGGAGGAAACCCTCAACAGAGCGCTAGAACCTCAGTTCTAGTCCTGGGCCTGTAGCTGGGTGACCCTGGGCAAGTCATCAAACACTCGGGGTTACACTTTCAAGTGTCTCAGAAAGGTAAGGGATTTATACAGATCATTAGAGCTATTTTTATCATCTCCACAAAGGCAGCTGTTCAAAATTGGAAAGTTATTGAGTTGAAATCTTATGCCTTGTAATGTCACCCGTTGGCCTTAGTTCTGTCTTGACCGGTGAGGCAGAGGCATGATACCCACTGGTCAGGGAGTCTTGTACTAGCTTGAAGGATTAGGTGGTCCTTTCATTTCATCAAGTTTCGTGGTTATCATTCATTTTTTAAAAAATTGTTACTCTTAATACATCCCCGGTGGGTTTGTGTTCTCTCTCTGAGGTACTCCTGCCACCCAATATATACCCTGGGTAGATCAATATCTCTGCCATGAAGTGGGTGAGGCAGCCCCTCCCCCAGCCACCCCAGGAGAAATAGAGGTGGTAAAACAGGCAGGCCTCTTGCCCAGCCCCACCCTTTGAGAATGTAGCAGGGCTGAAACCCAAATATCAGATTCTGTGATGTGCCAGGCCTATCTGCTTACGTTCTGGAATCTCAAGCTTGGGGTAGGCAGACCCAGGGCCTTGTTTTGGGGTGGTTGGGCTTGGCACTATAGTTGCAAGAGCGTGTGCTGCTCTTTGTGTGGGCTGCAGTGGCTATTCTTGAGGGAGTAATTGGGCAACTTCTCCATTTGCTCAGTAAATATTTACTGAGTGTCAGGCACCATGCTGGCTGTGAACAGACATGGTTCTTGGCCACACGGAGCTTACAATTTAGAGTTGGGGGCAGACAGTAAATGTATAGTCTGTGTGGTTACACATGGAACTCCTGTATGATTATACGTACAATTATGTATTATATGTGCTCATGCCTCCCACATTTATAATTTCATCTCTCCATTTCCAGCCTTGTGTATTCTGTTGCCTACAAACACATCTAATAGGCCTCCCAGTTTAACACAGTCCAAGACAGAATTAACCTCCGCTCCTCCCAAAGTCTTTCCTATCTCAGTTAATGTGATTTTATCCTTTCACTTGTCCTGACTCATTTTCACATTTCATATCCACTTAATCAATAATTCCTGTTGACTTTACCTTAAATTTATTTTGAACTTGCCTTTCACCATCTCACCACTTTCACTCTGGTCTAAGCTACACCAACCTCTTAACTGACCTTCCTGCTTCCTCCCTTATTTTCCGACAGACTATTTTCATCACAGCAGCCAGAGTGATGCTGTAAACTGTAAGTCAGATTTTGTTACTCCTTTGCTCCCCCATCTCATTCAAAGTCCTTGTGTTGGTCCACGAGACACCGTATAGTTTTTACTGGCTTACCTTTCTTATGCCATCTCTTGCTCTTCATCCCCTTTTCATCTCATGATATTTGAATGGGTCCCTCTCTTTGCTCCATCATTTCTTCTCAGTCAAGCCCTTCCTGACCATCCTTGTAAAAATTGCTCCCCTTCCCTCCATGCTGCTACTCTCAGCACTATCTGACCATCCTTCCCCCCACCCTTTTTTTGCCATGGCACTTACCATCCTTGGATATTGGCTGTCATCCTTACTGTGTGCAGTCTGAGATTTTTTATTTATTTCCTCTCTGATTCCTGAAACAGTGCCTGCTTCATTAGTAACTGTTGGATGAAATCTTTGTGTCTAGCAGAATTCAGTGAGCTCTATACAAAGCGGGAATGAGCAGACCTGATTGTTCTTGTCTTAATGGCCTTAGGCAAGGGTCCTAATGAAGGGACTTAAGCTGCTACCTGAGAATGATGTTCTGTTCTTGGGTCTGGCTTCTCTCTAACTCCAGATCTGGATAAAATGTCCAGAGGTTTGGGAAACTCTTGCTAGGAAATATGGGGGAGCTCCCAGTAGAGTCCAGGCAGCAGCATTTTCCTCTCATTTATGTGTGTATGTATAGAGTGGACCCCTTTCCCAGGCACATACCGTATTTTTAGCCATTAACTCAGGGCACAGGGATAAAGTGGTCTGACAGAACTCTGAGGCAGCAAGGAGGGTGATAGATTCCAGGCCTCTACCCATCACCTTGCTGGGGAATTTTTAGAATCATAGAATTTTCAAGCTGAAAGGGAACTTAAAGATTTCTTTAACCTTTTTTTTTTTCTTTTCCAGCTGTTTAAAAGAGAATAAAGCCATATCTACTCCCTGCTGAGTTCACAGAACTAGGGTGCAACCTATATAGAAACTGCATGGACTCCTTTAAGTTTTCAGTGTGCTGAGATCAAGACATTGTAAGGAAGTATGGTCAAGGTCAAATGTATTCAAAAGGAAGGGGGTCTAGTCTGTATACCACTTTCTTAAGTGGTGCTCTTGGGCAAGTAAAAAATGTGCTCAGTTGATCCTCTCGAAAAGAAAAGAAAAGAAAAGATTTCCAGTTTTCTTCAGAAAGGTGTTACGGGGATAAAATAAA